AACAAACAAAACCCAAACAAGGCTCCTAACGAAGCGGTACCAGTACCAGGCGGTTTGTGATCTCGCACCACTCCAGATGATGTCGTCTCCAGGGTGGGAGCAAACCCAGCCTGGCTTTTCTGACGTCCTTCTTTCCTGCAGCTGATGGAGAGACCCGTGCTGCAGCTTAGGTCCCCATGGTTCCAGAAACCAAGCCCCTCCAATCTTGCGTCCCTACCAGGCGGTTCGTGATCTCGCACCACTCCAGATGATGTCGTCTCCAGGGTGGGAGCAAACCCAGCCTGGCTTTTCTGACGTCCTTCTTTCCTGCAGCTGATGGAGAGACCCGTGCTGCAGCTTAGGTCCCCATGGTTCCTGAAACCAAGCCCCTCTACTCTTGTGTCCCAGAATCCCATGGGGTTGGAAGGGACCTCTGGAGATCATCTAGTCCAACCCCCTGCCAAAGCAGGTCCACCCAGAGCAGGTTGCACAGGAACAGGCGGGTTTGGAATGTCTCCAGAGAAGGAGACTCCACCACCTCCCTGGGCAGCCTCTGCCAGGGCTCTGCCACCTGAAAGTAGAGAAGTTCCTCCTCATGTTTAGGTGGAACTTCTTCTATTCCAATTTGTGCCCATTTCCTTTTGTCCTGTCCCTAGGCACCACTGAAAAAAGACCAGCCCCATCCTCTTGACACCCTCCCTTTAAGTGTTTATAAGCATTGATCAGATCCCCCCTCAGCCTTCTCTTCTCCAGACTAAAAAGACCCAAGTCCCTCAGCCTCTCCTCATAAGAGAACTCCAGTTCCCTCATCATCTCTGTAGCCCTCTGCTGTCCCCTCTCCAGCAGTTCCCTGTCCTTCTGGAACTGGGGCTCCAGATGGGGCCTCCCCAGGGCAGAGCAGAGGGGCAGGATGACCTCCCTCCACCTGCTGCTCACATTCTTCCTGATGCCCCCCAGGATGCCACTGGCCTTCTTGGCCACAAGGGCCCATTGCTGGCTCATGGTCATCCTGTTGTCCACCAGGACTCCTAGGTCTTTTTCCTCAGAGCTGCTCTCCAGCAGGTCACCCCCAACCTGCCCTGGTGCAGGGGGTTATTCCTCCCTGGGTGCAGCACCCTGCACTTCCCTTTATCATCAGGTTCCTCAGGTTCCCCTCTGCCCAACTCCAGCCTGTCCAGGTCTCGCTGTATGGAAGCTCAGCCCTCCATCATGTCAACAACCCCTCCCAGTTTTGTACGGTCACCAAACTCGCTGAGGGTCCACTCCATCCCCTCACCCAGGTTATTGATGAATATATTGAAGTGTCCTCTGTGTACAGCTTTCCTAACCACCAAGTGAAGCGCGGCCGGCTTGTGTAAACCTGTGTAAACACAGCTTTTCACCCTCACCTTGCCACGCCACCCTCACTGCCAGCACGGCACCCTTCTCCCACTCTGGATCTCCCCACATGCCCCATCTCTGTTTCAAGGTTCGCTCTGGCATCCAGGGTCCTGCTTCTGCAGGTGTTTTCACCTGGGAGTAGCTTCATTATGTTAGATGAGGGTCACCTGGAACCCATGTGCCAGCATTTTGGAGAGGGTATAATTAGTGCACCAACGTGCCACCTGGAATGTCATTGCAGCAAAACCAGCAGTTAATTAGTGGGCAGCATTCAGCTGACAAAACCCAGCTCTGATCTTGGAGGGGACAGGGCCTCTTCAGTATTAGCTGAAAGTGCAAAATTAAAAATCTCTGACTGCTTTAGAGTCTCCCGTTTCTGAGCAAGGTCGTGTTCATTTACTGAGCTCTGGTCCTAGTGCCAGCTTCTTCTAGTATTGTGAAAGGGAGTAAGAACTGTGAAGTTTTCATTCATTTTCCTTTAGGAAGGACCAACATAGGTCTCCAGGGCTGTAAACTTTTTTTTTTTTTTTTGAGCCACACATATTTTTAGATATAATTTTTTACATAAAAACATGTCAGCAGTCATAACATTTGACCTTCGTAAACCACAAATTTCTCAGATTCTCAACAAAACTTTTTAAATGTAGTTCGTGCTTGTATGTCATCGCTGTTCTCGCCACTCAAATGACTGCAGCTGCCCTCTAAAGGTTGTCTTTCTTTTTAAGTACAGAAACACTGAATTTCTTTTGCCCACACAACGTATCAGCCCCCACAGGTGCCCGTGGGAGATGATGGTTCAAGATACACCGACATCTCCTACGGTGTTCCTATGCTGTGGACCTCCTTTGGGGATCTCAAAGCCTACACTTCTCTTTCTGTTTAACACTGATTTTCTGGGCAATGGGGTTATCCACGTTAGATAATACAGGGAGAGATCTTGACTCATAATTAAGACTGTAATAGGACGCAGCGGATAATTTGCCAGCTTGACTCCTGCCTCCTGAATGTGCAATTCTAAGTTTGAAGTGAAACAGGGACAGCTTTCTGGTGAGTAATTTTACATCTTGGCTAGGCTGCTTCTAACTCTCTGAAATTAGCGGCATATTGTGGAGAAAACTGCTCCTTCTTAAAGTGCTTAAGACCTATGTTTGTACTTTGTGCCAAGGAAGGGTGTGCGGAGATGCCCCTGCTTATACTTATTGCTGTAACAACCACGATCAGCTAAATTTGTTATTTGCACCATTGGAGGGTCAGAAATGGAAAAGGCATAAAGGGGTCCCACCTGTGGGGAGGAGGGGACAGGAGAGGTGACCCAAACCTGACCAACAGGGTGTTCCATCCCATCTGCCCCATGCTCAGTGCAAAAGCTGAGGGATCAAAGGGTCAACTCTCTTTCTTTGGTGGCCAATATCTGACGAGGACTCTGTCTGTTTGTCTGCTTTCGATCCTGATCTGTGTGTTCCTGACCCCGGAGCTGGAACCCAGTTCCCATCCCTCGCTGAGTCCAGTCTGGGACTTCCCCAGTGCCTGACAGTGATGTCATCCTGGGAACTTGATACAGTTTTCTATATATTG